TGAGTCACTGCGCCCAGCCAAGTTTCCTCCTTTTTAAGGATACCAGTCAGATTAGGACTTACCCTAATGACCTCATTTTAATTTGATAACCTGTCAAGATCTTATTTCCAAATAAAGGTCATATTCTGAGGTAGTAGGGGCTAAGACTTCAACATATTTTTTTTTGAGAAACACAATTCAGCCCATAACACCAATGTCATCAGAAGGGTCTTTATAAGCCAGAGAGAGGCAGGAGAGTCACTGTCAGTGATTCCTCCCAAAAAAGACTTGATGGGCCACTACTACGAAGATGGAAGAGCAGGGAACCAAGGAATAGAGGTAGCCTTAGAAAATGGAAAAGAAAAGGCAATTCTTCCCTAGAACCTCCAGAAAGGCATGCAGCCCTGCCAATTTGGTTGATTTTAGTCCAGTGACTTCCATTTAGGACTTGTGAGTTCCTGAATTGTAAGATAATAAAGTTGTGTTGTTTTAAGCCACTAAGTTTGTAGTTATTTGTTACAGTAGCGGTAGGAAGCTAATACATGTGCCAAGATAATTCATTCCTGCCTTACAGCATTTATGTGGATTGTTCATGAAGAATTTCCTCTGTCTAAAGTGCTAATTTCCCAAATATAAGCATGGTGGGCTTTTCTACATGATTTGAGTCTGCTTAAATCACATCCCTTCAGAGAGGCCTAGTAAAGATTATCTGTGCCCCTTTCCCAAAATTCACGTCTTGAAATCCTAACCATAAATATAATAGTATTTGGAGGTAGGGCTCTTGGGAGGTAATTAGTCTTATTATGGGATTAGCTACCTTCTAAGAAGATACACAAGAGCTTGCTGTCTGTCTTTGCTCTCTCCTATGTGAGCATACAGCAAGAGGACAGCCATGTGCAAACCAGGAAGTGGACCCTCCCCAGCCAGGGATCTGTCTGCGCTTTGACCTTGGACTTCTCAACCTCCATAATTATGAGAAATGTTTCTTTTTTAAACTATTCAGTCTTTGGTAACTTGTGATAGCAACCCAAACTAAGACACTTTCCCTGACTTCAATTAAAGTAGCTCCCTTGTTACTCTATCACATGATCTTGCTTTATATTCATCATGACACTTGTCACTTCTTGCCACCTTTTTCTTTATGTTATTATTATTAGAACACACAAGGAAAGCTGAAGCTTTGTCTCTTCTATTTCCTTATAACCCCACTACTTAGACTAGTGCCTACTACATAGCAGGAGCTCAATATTTGTTGAATAAATGAATGAGTGAACATTTATTTCATGCAAGATAATGGATATATACTATTCTATTTAATCTTTTCATCAGCCCAATGCAGTAGAATTCCTATCACCATTTTATTGAACATAAACTCTGCGATAGCAGGCATAGGTGTACCCGTACCTTTTTGGTAACATTAACTATTCATACATATAATGAATAAGTAAATGAACCACATTCAAAGAAATCAAGTAGCCAGTGTAAGTAACAAAGTTTAGAAAATAGATATCTACTACATTAATGCCTACAGCTTCCATAATTTGTTGTTGAAGAACACTGGAGCTACCGTTTGAGCCAACTCCATCCTCATGAGATCAAGCTCCCATTTTGCCTGCATTCTGGACAGTTCTATTAACACACTCCAGTCATCCCTGAATTCCAGACATACAAAACTGAATTTTAAATCTATGCCCCAAATTTACTCTGTAGATTTGTTGGCTAAAACAAGGGCACCAGTACCTGTCTGCCAAACAAATTCCTGGGAGTCATTTTCTACTTCCTTCCTATTCCCCTACAATTGACTGGTAGTTTATTTTTCCTGTTTAATAGTTTTTGTACTAATTTCCTTTTCCAGCTCCACTGACATAGTCACTTCCCAAACTATTTGTCCAGACACTGCTTCTAAGACAATCCCTTCAGCAAGACCAAGCATGACACTTGCTAGCTTAAAATCCTTCTGTGACTTTCTACAGTCTTTAATAGAAGCTAAATCCTTTACCGCAACATGAGAGGTCTCATATAGTCTGCACCCTCCCTAGGTTTTCATCTTTCTCCTCTCACTCTCCCCTCACTGACTGGTCTAGTTACACTGGTTTTTAAATTCCATGAAGCGTCAAGTTCATCCTTGCCTGAGCAACTCACATGTTTGTTCACTCTTCAGATCTCAGGGATGCCTGTTTTCTCCAATCTAAACTATTCTCAACATCCTGCCATTTTCCTTCCATAAAGCACAAGTTGTTTGCATTTGTTTCCTGCACCAGATTATAAGCTCCATGAAAGAAAGTTTTGTGTCTTTTTGGCTCACCATTGAATGCTCAGTATCTGACACATGCCTGGCATACAGTGAAGGGCATATTACATATGTTTTCAATAAACAAATTTAATATTTATTGAGTAAGCAAAGTTTATTGTGTGTCTTTTAAAGAACTTTGCTTTTATGTATCCATTTTGGTTGGGATGGTGTCTGGTCAAGTGGCAGAGGTAAAGAAAACAAAAACTAATGTGAGAAACAGTGGAAAGAGAAAGAAATAACAGAAAAAATGAGTGAGATGGAAGAGTGAATGAAGAGAGTATTGGAAGAAACAGAAAGCAGAGATGGGTCTTATAGTGGGGTTAATGGTGGCCACATCAAAGACAAAATCACATCAAAACTCTGGATGCTGTGAATGCTGCTGTGTTCATTTCTCCGAGCTACTATAACAAAGTACTGCAAACTGAATGGCTTAGGATAACCACCACTTATTTTCTTCTAGTTCAGAGGCTAGAAGTCTAAAATCAAGGAGTCAGTGGGGTTTGTTGTTTCCAGAAGCACTGAGAGAAAAAAAATCTGTTCCATGCCTCTCTCCTAGCTTCCGGTGGTTGCTGGAAATCCTGGGCATTCTTTGGCTTGGCGACACATCACTTTGACTTCTGCTTCCATCTTCACATGGGGTCTCCTCTGTCTCTCCTGTGCCTTCACATGACATTCCTATAAGGATACCAGTCATTGGATTTAGGATCCACTTTAATCCAGCGTAACCTCATCTTATTATATATGCAAAGACCTAGAGCCTTCAGAGGGAGTGTGGCCTTGCCAAAATTTTGATTTTGGACTTCTGTCCTCCAGAACTGTGAGAGAATACATTTCTGTTGTTTGAAGGCATCCAATTTCGAGTATTTGTTTCAGCAGCCACAGCAAACAAATACAGGCCTTAACAGAATAGAACTCATGGCACACTATTTTTTTCCTCTAAGTACCATTAAAAACAAAACAAAAAACAAATCTCTGAGTTAGATTCTGCCCTAAACAGATCAAAGAGGTCTTAGTAAATAATTTGTGAACAGCTGTAAAGTTAAAACAGCTCAATTTCTGTAAAGTTAATGTTTAACGATGTTTTAACACAAAACTATCCCTTCAATGACTGAGACATATGACTCTTTAACCTACTAAGAATTTACTATAAGAAAATAATTATGTTGTAAACTATCTTTCATTTATCTTCACTTATCTTCTGAATGCCTGACGATTAACATCAAATTTTATCATATTTCATATGCCTCTCTCATTTCAGAGTAAACTGTTTAATGTCATCTATGTCTCCCTGTTAAGTTCTTTTTATCTTGAAATTAATTTTTTTTCATGTTGCCTGATGTATAATTAGATGACATGTGGTATACTATGTAACCTACAACTGGGAGCACAACTGCTTAAAGTGGCTTAGTTTCTGGAAGTCGTGCCATCAAGATAAAGCTAAATTGAATAGAGGAAATGACACGACAAGTGTCTTTCCAGCTTTGAATACATTCAGAATTAAAGTCTGGCATCACAAAACAATCTCTTCCAAACCTTAAGTTCCATTTTTAACCATTTAACTGGCAGATGCCAGGTTATTTCAAAATGTCACATACTGTTTTCTTTCATTCTTCATTTGGATGAATGATACAGGAGAGTTCATGCTCTTGCAGGGTCCATTCATGAACAGCTGCAGAGTTAAAACAGATCAATTTCTGTAAAGAACCAATGTCACATTTCAAGGAAGAAACTGGAGGATAGAACTAGCACTCAGTGGCAATGGAAGGCTGAACTCCCCAACTTCTCAGACTCAACCCCCCACCACTTGTGCTTTGGAATCCCCGCCCCTCTTCCCAGAGTTTTCCTGTGGTTTGGGTAGATCAGCCCTGGGGTCCAGGGAGAGCGGGCACTAGCCCGCCCTGGCGCTGGACAAAGTAGACCCCACTCCGCCTGCGGGTAGCTTAGCTGGTGGGGAGGAGACTTGAGCTCTCACTCTCCGCCTGCAAAGGCAGATTTGCCCAGATCCCCGCAGGCCCCCGCAGCCCCGGGGCGGGTGTGGGCGGCGGAGGGAAGGGGATCTGGGCCAAACGCCCACCCACAGGCGAGCGACCTGGAAAGGTCCGGCCCGTTTTCCTTGGGTTGCAGCGGACGCCGGAATGCTGGGGTCCTGCGAACGTGAGCGTCTGCCCGGTGCCGGATTATCACCCCACAGCCAGGGCTAAGGCTCCCCGCCCACCAGCGAGCCACTTTCCCGCGCCGACGCGACTAACTCCTGCTGTTCGGGTAGGGAACTCGGAGAACCGGAGTGGCCTCCCCTCCCCCGCGCAGACGTCAGCGCTGGCGTCGGGGAAGCGCCGTAATGCCCCGAAGAAGCGCGCCTCAAAACTTGCACCTCGCTGCCGCAGCTTCAACGGATAAATCACTTGCCCCAAGCACACTCCAATCCTGCCCGCGGGGCCATGGCAGAGCAAAAGAGAGGCTCTCCATGGAGATATGCTCCAGAAGCGTGGGTGGCTGTGCCTAAAGGTTTGTTGGAGAGGGACAATCAATGAGGCTTGGAGGCTGTGGCACCTAAGACGCTCTCCCCACCCCACGTCATTCAGAAGGTTCCGCAGGTCCCGGCAGCGGTGGGTTTGTCAGTCCCATCCGGCGGCCAGTCTCCCTTGCCCGATCGCCTACGTTCCTCGGCCTGGTCAAAGTTCGTTTCAAAGCATTTTTACCTACGCGCCCTCGGCCAGAGGCGTTCGGTGCGTTTGTGCGCGTGTATTCGAAGGCGCGTGGTAGTGATGGCGGCGCTCAGTGAGACTTTCCTGTCACTGGATACTACTACTCCCAACCCTCCTCAAAGCCGCCAGAGCAACCCCCAGGTCTTTAGTTTACAAGTGGCAATTTGACTTGCTTTGCTGCATGTCTGGAGGGACCAAGGAAAGTGTGGAGACGCCCTGGGGATTAGGTGATCGCAGCTTGAAAAGAAAAAAAGCCAAACAAATAAACAAAACCCACCCACCCTAACAAATATGAGGCTGCTGGAGAGAATGAGGAAAGACTGGTTCATGATCGGAATAGTACTGGCGATCGCCGGAGCTAAACTGGAGCCGTCCATAGGGGTGAATGGGGGTAAGTGCGGCACCTCTGCGTGCTCCACCGCGGCTCCCACTTCAGAACTAATTTGTGAGTCTTAGAAAGGTGGGGCAACCCTCATTGCAAGCGCTTGCCAGTCTCAGGGGCACTGACCAGCCTTTGGCCCTTTTGCTGATTTTCTAATTTACCAACCCCAGAGGGAACTTGTAATTAGGAACAGGGCAAAGGAATTTGAGCGCAGGTAGTCTTTTCCGCAGACAATGACTATCCTCAGTGTCAAGAAGTGAGGTTACAGAGAATGAAAGTTACTCCTCTTGCCTCCAAACTAGCATCCTATCCCAAGGGACTCTAGGTTGCCAAGAGTTCCTTATCTATCTTGGAGTGGACCTCATTATCCAGTCTACTTTCGAGTCCACCCCGCCCCCACATTAAAAAAAAGTGGAGGAAAAACAAGGAAAAGGGACACCTCCGCCCCCAACTCAGATTTTATGGCCCACATGTTGGAGAGTGATGATTTGCTGTAGTTCCTGGCGCTCCAGAAACTCCCAAGCCGACTGACACGTTGCACTCTTTCATTACAGGGCACTACTTCCGTGTGCTGCCGGGATTCAGTTCTGTACTAGCAGTCTAACAGATACAGACTGTGTTAGACTATGTGTAGTGTGTGTTTTGGCAAGGAAATGTAGATGGACTGAAAGCATACTTAAATCTCTGAATAGTAGGAGCTTTGTACTGGGGGCGATGGGCACTGGTGGGAACATTAGAAATATTAGTTTTTTATGCCCCATCCCCCACACCTTTAGATAATCTTTAAACATTAATTGAATTTATTCAGTGCGATTGTTTTTGACCTTGTTTGTCAGTTTCCAAGCTTATTGACAGGTTTAATACCTAAGTCATACAACCGGAGCAAATAAGGACAAAGCTGAACAGGCACGATCTTTTCATAGTAGGAATTTCTCAGGAGGATATTTGAAGTTATTGGTATCTTTCTGCTAAAACATGATGGAAATGAATGAAATGATCTCTCAGGAGAACAGTAGTGGTCCCTTTTCCCCTTAACCTCTCCGGATTCCTCTGTTTAGAAGTAGCTTCCAGGAGCATTTTTAAAGGAATTATTTAAACTAAAATTGTGGAGTTGAAGGCTTTTTTGTTCATTTTAAAATTGTGTTCTTCTGTATTTAACTTAGAACAAAATGTGTAGAATATGTAACTATGAGAATAAAGCAGTTATTCCTGGTGGTTTCTCCCTCTGATGGCAACAGTTTCTTCTTTAACAAAGCTGCTCTGTGAACTTTTGGTAAACTCTTGTGAAGATCAGGTCTGTCAAATGAAGACCCCGCCCCCATCCCTGGAGCTAAATGAATAGGAAGACCTACAGTACCTTTGCATGATCTGCAAGGCACTCTCCCTAGCTATAGCTTCTGGTGTTAGATCTCTTATTTGCTCAGTTTTGAGGTGAAATTCCAGATGATGTATGATCTTTAACTTTAAATCTGCAGGGGCTAAGTTTGGCAAAATATCTTTTACTTTACATTCCCAAATACTCTGTGGGAAGGAAGGTGTTGAATGCTGAATCATTTCCGTGGGGCTTTTCTGCCATGCCATGTATGAGATAGATTCTGCAAGCTTATTTGTTCCATAGACTCTGCTTATTAACATTTTGGTATGTAATTGTATCATAGAAATGCCGTTTCCCATTTTCACTAGTTCTTATGTCTTTAGTGTAGGATAATTCATTCCTTTTTAAAATTACAATTGAATGTTAAGAGTGGGAAGGGAACATTTAAAGTGTTTTAAGCCAACATGCTTCTTTTACAGTTGAAGATACTGAGGCTTGATGCCAGGTGACTCACTCTATGTTAAGGTGTCTAGTTTAGGGAAGAGGAACCATTCAAGACCAAGACTCCCCCTTATTTCACACCAGCTGCAAAATCTATACTAATGGTTCTGGCAAAAAAAATTATTAAAATGAATAACCATTATAAGGAAAGACTGAATGTAATAAAGACGTTTTCCATGCCCTGCTTTTTAATGCAAAGGAGCAGAGTAAAATCAGTTACTATTAAACAATGCACTCATGGTTTCTTTAATAGTTGTTCATATGGAAAAGATGCTTTTTCTAAAAACATAAGATAAACAAACAATTGTTTGGAATTTCCTTTACAGCTTATCAGGCTAAGTCATTGATACTTCTGGTTTTGTTTGAACTGGGGTCTCCCTCAGTCACCCATGGCTCACTGCCTTTTCAGCCTCCTGAGTCCAAGCAATTCTCTCAGTTCAGTCTCTTGAGTAGCTGGGACCACAGCCATGTGCCACCACACCCAATAATTTTTTTTATTTTTTGTAGAGATGGGGATCTCCTTATGTTGCCCAGGCTGGTCTGAACTCAAGCTACTGTTGAGCTTTTAATGGATTTTTCCCACTTGTAAAGCCTCCTAAGTAAAAACAAACCACCAAATAATACCAAATGACCATCTCATGCCACTAGTTAAAATAACAAAAATCTAGGAAAGGAACTAGGAATAAGGAGAGGAATGGCTGCTGAAAGTGTTTTTGTCATGTCCTGCTCTTTGGAATGGTCTGAAACACCTTTTTTGGCTTATAACTTTTAGTGAAAAGGCTCCATTTCTGGCCTTTGTACACTGAAAATCTGATTTTTAATGCATTCATATTGACTGGATAATTTTCAATTAATCAATCTTTAGATATACTTTTAAATAGGAAAAGTTTGCTATTAAGATGCTCACTTCACCTTTACCTGGATTGATACCTTAATGACTACAGTCTACTTTTAAGTGTAAGACTTCCAAACTTAAATTATCACACATATGTATGGTCTAACTCCTCCCCAACTGCCCCCCTAAATTTTTACAGTCAGTTGGTGAGTTAGTATGGCAGAAAATTTATAGATGTGGGAACCTTAAAATTAGAGAAGTTGAATGACTTTCCAAATGGGTAGTAGCGTAATACACACTAGCTTGGATAATTGAATTCTTAGCTCTTGTTCTTATTTAGTTATATTTAATTTTTAAATATATACAGAAGAAGTTTGAAAATAAAAAGTTATAGTAGATGTAAATATGTAGATTCTGAGGTGTTGACGATCTGTCCCAGTGTGGCCTAAGGAAGCCCTGAGCTATTGCACACCATAGAGTTTATGGGAATTCAACACTGTGCTGTTCATTCTTGAGAAGACAAATGTTTACTTCGTTGGAAGTACAGAGTAAGTTTCTAATTTCTACCCGCATCTTAACTTATTACCATTTATAAGACACTAATCCTAAAAAGGAAACTGCTTTAGTTTTCCATTAAAAAAAAACATAACCAGAAACATGCTATAAACTTAAGTATATTAACATGAATATCTTAGAAGATCTTAGATTAGGTTTGGAAGTGAAATTTACTTCAGTGGTGAATGGCTTTTGTGAAATAGTAATAGTTCCTTGCATTCTTAAGTATTTCAGAACATTTTACTTTTTCCTCCCATTAAAAAGCATGGGTTTTGGAGCCCCCAAATTGCTTCATTGTTATGACCATTTTTTCTTTTGATTGTGCTACCCCATTTCATTTTTGCTGATAAACATCTTTGTTTAAAGGAACAGTGAAAACTTATTTCCAGTTTAAGCTTTGTAGCCATCTTAGTATCCAATATGATTATTTTGGTGACTTGGAGGATATAATTATTGGCTTATGGAGGGGACACATACCATTTTTATATTTCAGTTTTAACTCTCACCTCTTGCAAATATTTACCATGTTTTTATTTCAGCCCTGGTGACTTGTAGTTCTGCATGCCCTAGTTGGGCGATTTGTTTCAGCCCCTCACTTGACTCTGTCTCAGAGGGCCCTTGGGTTTCCCTAAATTAATTCCTCTTTTCTTCTTACAGGTACATTGTAGATAGCACTGGAATATCCTTAACATGTCCTTTCATGGATTAGAGTTATTCAGATGTGCATCTAATACAAAAGACAGTATACCTTGTCTTTAGCTACCCCAGAGAATTATGCAATCCAAATAAATGTTTCAGGTTTGCTGTGGAGATGCATCTTTGGACATGTCCCCAGTCTCTCATTTGCCACCATATTGCTGACTCTGACCCCTCTTATCTAGAAAATTTGGAGGCACCACTGTGGATGGAACCATGATGGACAAGCATAAGGTCTCATAAAAACCACGGGATTGGAAGAAAATTAAAATGATGTGAATTTTAAAAGACAGGGTATTTAAAATTATTGGGAAACTTCTATTCCCCAAGAAAGCCAGATTCCTTGACTTTAAAATCTGCTCCTGAATCACCCTGCATAGCTGTTGAAGAAATATTACTTGTTTGAGCTGCTGAGACAGATTCACTTACAAGTATAATGTACCTCTTTTTAAAAGTTTTTGAACAGTCTTTACTGCCCCCAAATGTAATGCCTTTTGCACTTGCCTTCTCCCTTTTCCTCCCTTTTCTTAGATCTCAGCAAAACGATTTGTGTAAATGCCAGGCATATTAAATAATTTATTGCAGCATTTGAAGAAATGTTTGTTTCTTTTATTCATTGTTGTGCTACAAATGCCTAAGACGTAGTAGGTCTTCTCTCTCTATATATATCTATCTATCTATCTATCTATCTATCTATCTATCTATCTATCTATCTATAGTGATTTTTCCTGAGCTTGGTTTTCTGTCCATTTATTGAGCAAATGGAGGGTTTCAGACCATGGAGAAGCCATGATTGTTGTCCTGTTCTTTTGCTTAAGGGGGTATATTAGTTTCTTAGGGCTGCCACAACAAATTACCATGAACCAGGTAATTTATTCTCTCACAGCTCTAGAGGCCAGAAGGCTGAGGTCAAGATGTCCTCCAAAGGACATCTGGGAAAGAATCCTTCTTTGCGTATTCCAGCTTGTGGTGGTTGCCAGCCATTCCTTAACTGTGGCACTATATCTCCAGTGTCCACCTTTGTCATCACATGGCTGTCTTCCCTGTGCATGGGTCTGTGTCCAAATTTCCATCTTTTAAGAATAGGCTATTGGATTAATGACCTTCCTAATCCAGTAAGTCTGCATCTTAAGTTGATTACATGTGCAAAGACCCTATTTTAAAAAATGTCACATTCACAGGTTCTGGGTAAGCATGGATTTTGGGAGTAGGGGGTCACTACTCAATGTAGTACAAGAGGACTGAATAGAATACCAAATATGAGATGATCTGAGATTTTTAAATGTTGCCATATACCAGGATTTCTCAGCCTTGGCACATTGACATTTTGAACATGATAATTTTTGTTGTTGGAGGGGCTGTTCTATGTCTTCTAAGATGTTTAATAGAATTCTTGATCTCTGCTCACTAGATGTTAGTAGTATACCCTATCCCCCAAGTTATGACAACAAAAAAACATTTCTAAACATTGCCATATGTCCATGGAGGGCAAGATTGCCACTGCTGGAGAACCATTGGTATGCAGGTATAAAATGTCATTTTCTCAGGACTGCATCTTTTTAAAGAATTTTGTTCTTTGTTAGCACATTAGGTCTTAAAGACAATTGTGTACAGTCACAAATGATACTTAAATCAACTCACAAATGATACTTTTAACTATTGTTCTCACAGTGTTAACACATTAGAATGCAGCCAACCTAACTCCGAAGAGGATTTCCTGAAAGGCAGGGACCAGGCCTGGCTGGGTCGCCATGTATCTCTGGGGCCTAGCACAATTTAATAATAATTATGGGCATGGCAGTATATTAATAAGTACTTTATATGCATTATCATTCACATAGCAAGTGCTCAGTAAGTATTTGTATGATGAATACTCTTGGGCGGAACTGAATGCATGCATGATTACAACCTTTTGTTTCTGGTATCCTAGAAGAAATGAAATAATATTTGCTAAAGAGAAGAGGACTTCTTCAGTTGATTCTCTTCTCTGGGCTTGGGGGTGTTTTGATTGTTATATAAATGCTGATACCATGATAGATATAGTTAGGACCTATATTGAAGGATGTTGCTCACGTGCTGTCCTGTGTGCTTCTTTATTCCTCTGGTCTGAGGATACTGAGCTGAGCCAGACAGCTATGGTTCTTGCCCTCTGGAAAATGCTCTCTGGAGTTAGGCTGCATCACACAAATACTTACTTCTGTTGGAACAGTAGGACACTAGAGGTGACACTGATACCTAAAATACCATTTGTTCTGCAGTAGATGATGATGATGATGATGATGATGATTTTGAGACAGAGTTTCACTTTGTTGCCCAGGCTTGAGTGCAATGGTATGATCTAGGCTCACTGCAACCTCTACCTCCTGGGCTCAGGTAATCCCACTACTCAGTCTCCCAAGGAGCTGGGATTACAGGCATGCACCACCATGCCTGGCTAATTTTTGTATTTTTAGTAGAGATTGGGTTTTGCCATGTTGGCCAGGCTGGTCTTGGACTCCTGGCCTCAAGTGATCTACTCAGCTTGGCCTCCCAAATGGCTGGGATTATAGGCATGAACAAATAGAGTCTTCTTTTGTGCCAAGTTATCTACTGAAATTCTTTTCTAACAATAACTCATTTTTTTTTTCTCTTTAGGACCATTGAAGCCAGAAATAACTGTATCCTACATTGCTGTTGCAACAATATTCTTTAACAGTGGACTATCATTGAAAACAGAGGTACTGTCACCTATGGGACACATGAAAAGCAGAGAGAAAAATTTAATTTGAACTTACCTGAAATTTCAGAATCCTTTGGTAATGCCATTTATAGCTATAATCTGAAGGATTCGCTATAGCAGAAGATAGCTTGGTCAGCAAAGAACTTGTGTTTCTTTCCTGCATAAGTGTATTATAAAAACTGTACAGTTGAGTAGCATGGACCCTGAGGATGTGGTTATAATGAGTATGTTTTTAATATGGCAGCTGAACTGAAGTATCTACTTTAGTTCTTCCTCAACTTATGGCGGTAACTACAGTGGTGCCTGCTATGCCTGGGCACATTTGAGCTGTTGATGTTTAGTTTGGTTTCCATACTTTTGTGGATCATCTTTGGTTCCCAGGACTCATGCTGTTCAAATAATGTTTAATTTGTCATAACTTTTAACTAATTTTTATTTAGAAAAGTTTATTGTTCCTTAGCATATCTATTAAATATTAATAGATGTCTTAAGAGAAATATTTCATTTGACATATATGTATGTATATGTGTGTGTATATATATACACACATATAGACACATGCACACACATATATACATGAGTCTGTGTGTGTGTGTATATATATATACACACACACCACACACACACACACCCCACATCCATATATATGTAGTGTTATTTACTGATTCAGGTTTCACTGAACATGGGATTCTCTTAGAAGTAAAGAAATCCAGACATTTTTACATTTACGTGTGAAAGAGGAATGAGTAGAATTTATGATTCTCTTTTGACTTACACTGGAAGAAAAAAAAAGTGGAGAAAATACCCATTTGCTCTTGAAGAAATTACATAAAACTATCATTCTAACATCCTGTTCTTATGTAGATGGGAATATCTCACTATAAGTAAGTTTTCTGTTTTTGGAAATGGCTTTAAAAGTTAAAATTCTGGTCCAGCATCATGTCTCACCTTTATTTATTTTGAGAGTGATTTGAATGAAGACTAAATTTACTTATCTCCTTCTTAGATCACCCTCGTAGCAATGTGGAATAAAACATGACTTTACTAAATTTATGTATTCTGTAGCCATCAGGCTGAGGTTGGTATAAATCTTTTTATTGTTTTTTCTTTTTTTTTTTTTTGAGACAGAGTCTTGCTTTGTCACTCAGGCTGGAGTGTGGTAGCATGATCTCGGCTCATTGCATTCTCCACCTCCTGGCTTCAAGTGATTCTTCTGCCTCAGTTTCCCAAGTAGCTGGGACTACAGGTGCCCACCACCATGCCCAGCTAATTTTTCTATTTTTAGTAGAGGCTGGGTTTCACTACATTGGCCAGGCTGGTTTTGAACTCCTGACCTCAAATGATCTACCCACTTCGGCCTCCCAAAGTGTTGGGATTACAGGTGTAAGCCACCGCACCCTGCCTCACTGGGGTGTTTTTTTGATATACATAGGATAATTGTGTAGTGTCTATAACTGATAAATTGTGTCTTTAGAGTTGTAAATATTTTCTCTGACTACTTGCTCTTCTGAAAATAACTGACATGGGATGAGATTTTCTAGTATGTCAAATTCCAATTTTGGTAAACAATATTGATATGAGAGGACTATGATTACTGTTTATAGGTCACAGGCTTTTTTTTTTTTTTTTTTCTGTCAACGTATGAATTCTGTTATTGGTTCTCAAATGTGGGGCACAGTGATACAGAAAGATATTTGCCACCACCATAGTGTCGGACTGATCTTGTTTGGAGGTCTTCCTGCTGGCCTTGGCTAGTGCTCTTGGTGGAGCAGCTTCCTAACCCAAGTGGCTGTCCCCTGGTGGCTGCTTAATGGCTACAGCTGTTACTGTGCCATGGGAAATCCAGAAAGCAACTTGATTTCTCTCACTCTTTAGCGTCTTACTTAATGCTATTCTGTAAAGCAGCCAACTTTGTGGGATGCAGGAGTTGAAGAAGGAAGAATGTCACAGCTGTCGGCATTTTTCTGAGGACTGACTTCTTTTGTAAGCACCTAAGAAACCTTCAGAGTCATCCAGCTAATTTGGATCTAATGAAATGCCTTGATCTCTTGCTTTATCATGGTATCTAAGCAGCAATAAAAGCCATTTCTTCCATCAAAAGCCCTTTTCAAATGAATACAACATAATATCATTTTCAAAAGCCACTTAACTTAAGATGTCCTAGATTGTACCATTGTGCAATATTAAACCACCTCTAAACTCTACTAATTTCATGGGTAGCTTGTAATTTAGGTGGTAGCAGTCATATTTGTTTACTAGTTAATAATCCTAAATTTATTTCAGTAGGGATTACAATTTGTGTGTCTTATTAGGTCCTAAAATAGTTCATTTTTGCACACAGGAGACAGTGAATTATTATTGACTTGGTTTATTTGAAAGCATTTGTGTTGGTCCCATTCAAGTTTGATTTATATTGAACATTTCTTGTATTAATCATACATTGATTTAATGATGTGTATTCTAAAATTTGTTTTACTAATTTGTCAAAATTTTAAAGGCCTCTGTGCTGATACAATGCTGAGTCTTCAGTTTTATGGCTGTTGATTTCTAGTTTTTCGAAATTTTGTTTTATTGAAGTGAAATACGGTCACGTTTAAAATTCATATTTAGTTCACTGCAAACCTATAGTTTGGGAGGATTTGTTACTTAACCAACTGTGGCCGGGTGAATTTGTTTAAACAAATACCAATTAAGTGCTTTTGGCTACAAGGCACTGTGCTGGGGATAGAAACAAAGGAGAGCAGGAGACTCAGAGACTAAAAAAGGGTCCTGAATAGGGCAGAAGATGCAGGTTTTTCTTTGTTTTTCAAATAAATTATTATTTTTATCCTATTAGCAAATTATTAATTACAGTTACAAATTATTAATTTTTTATCCTGTTAGCAGAAAAGCAAATATAGCAAACTCTAAACTTCATATTCATGCTGTTTGTTTCAAGCCCAGAGCTATGAGCCTGACTCTCAGCAAATGAACGAGATGAAGGCCAGATAAAGGATTGCAAGAGAAATAGGGATCTAATGGAAATATTTACGTCCCAATCAGAGCCCTGTTTTAAGCAGTGCTTGATGCTGTCAGTGAAACTCTGGCATAATCAGTACATGAGGTGGAGTGTCTTCTTAAGTTTATTTTAATGGATTTTGACCTATATTACATGTGAATAAACAAACTATGATGCGGAATCAACTTTTTAATTATTCATGTTGGCATTTATTTGACTATGTGGCCCAAATTTTACATGGGCATGTACAGAGTAATAACTATTTTGGAATTTATAGGGTTTACTTGCTTTTTCTTTCCTGTTGTTACCTTATTTTTTCTTTATGGTGGTATGAAGAAGATATGAAAAATATATGACTCTGGGATTTTGTAACAGTTTTGAAAATCTTTCTCAGAAGCACTTCCCTGTTGTTAAGACGGCCCTCATGAGCCAACATGGTTGGTTGTTGTGGCTCGTTTTACTGGTTCTTTACTATCGTTCTGATGCAATGCCAGTTTCTAACTGTCATTTATTAGGTCAGCAATATTTTCTAAGCACATTTTAGTTTTTATAACTTGTTTCTGTTGTAATAAAAGTGATATTTACTTATTGTAGAAAGATTAGAAAGATTAAAAATACTTGCTATTAACTATTAACACCCACTTTTTATCCTTTTTAAAAATGTGTTTTATATACATAATATTTTAAAAATGAAATTGTGAATATAAGTATGTATATATACATATTGCAGACCTATGCACATATACAAATGTATTCTTACCTTACTTTTTATGTAACATTGCATACTTTTAATATAATTTAATATTAATATTTAAATTTTCTTTATATGACAAAAATGTATATTTTATTTACCCTTATGAACATAATTTATTCACATAGTTCAGAATTAAAAAGTACAAAGAGATGTATAAGTCTTTTTTTCACTCTTCCACCGGCGATCCAGTTCTCTTCTCTGGAGACAAAAAATGTTAACAATTTCTGTGTACTTTTCCAGAGATATTCTTTGTAAAACATACAATTGCATATTCCACACCCCTACAAATTGTATTTCATACTGTTTGGCACCTTACCTTATTTTACTTAAAAGACGTATCTTGTACATTGTTTCACCTTAACACATAAAGGACTCCTTTTTTTTTTTTTGTACACCAAATAGTATTCTGTTGCACGGATGTGTCCTGGTGTATTTTTGTTGTCCTCTATTGATGAACATTTAGTTAATTTACAAGATCTTGCTATTACAGACATGTTGCAAAAGATAACCTAAAAATATGTTATTTCCCATATTTGGAAACATATGCAAAGGATGAATTCCTACAATTGGGTCAAATGATACATGTAGTTTAAGTTGTAGCAGATATTCCAAGTGCCTAGAATGGTGCCAGATGCTCAGTAAGAATTACTTAAATGAGGGAATGAGTTGCCAGATTGCTCTCTGTAGGTTATGCCAATTTATATACCTATTGATAATATGTAGGGGAGAGATTCTATACATCTGCATCCTCATCAACAAGATATTTAATAATTCATAACACTCCCATTACATTTTAACTTTTTAAATGATTCTCTTATTTTTGGACATTTGTTTTCAGATTTTGCTCTAATAGATAATGCTGTGGTGATCAATTTTGTGTATAAATGTTTGCAACCATTTTGTATATCCTTAGGATAAATTCCTAGTCATAAAATTCTGGGGTCTAAGAATATGAATTATATAGTCCTTGATATATATTACTAAATTCATTTTCAGAAAAGTTATGCCAATTTTTACTCCTATTGGAAGTATATGCAGGCTGGGTGCAGTGGCTGATGCCTGTAATCCCAGTACTTTGGGAGGCTGAGGTGAGTGGATCACCTGAGGTCAGGAGTTTGAGACCACCAGCCTGGCCAACATGGCAAAACCCCATCTCTACTAAAAATACAAAAACTAGCCTGGCATGGTGGTGGGCACCTGTAATCCCAGCTACTTGGGAGATTGAGGTAGGAGAATCACTTGAACTCAGGAGGTGGAGGTTGCAGTGAGCCAGGAACACACCATTGCACCCCAACCTGGATGACAGGAGCGAAATACCATCTCAAAAAAAAAAAAAGTATATGCAAATGCCTTAGTGTATTCTGGCTAATCATTTCATTATGGTATTTTAAAAAATAAAAATACTAATATTTATTTAGTGTTTATCAAATGGCTAAATGAGATTAGTATATTTAAATATTTAGTATATTTAAATGAGATTTGCCTTCAAGACTGTTGAGAATTCTCTGAACTACTGGTGCTCAAGTTTTCTCTGGAATAGAGGTCTAAGAGTTCTGATTCACTGTAAGGATGGCTTGCTTTCTCTTAGGTCTGATCCCAGAACCAAATGTGACTTCTGGTAGGCTGTGTCTTCCAGTGGTCGCAAATTAGACTCAGATTACCAGAAATTCTTTAGATGTCATTTAGGGATGTCTTGTGACCTAACAGGAAGGAACTGCTTTGTTTATCTCCACACAGGGAGATAGACAGTGGAAAGTGATGAGACTAATCTCAGAATGTGGTGGAGCCAATGAGTCTGCATTAACGTACTGTTGATTAAGCTGATAAACTTTGGCTAATGTCTCTGAGGCTGAGGATCTCTTCAACATCTTACTTGAACAAGAGGGCCATTACAGTTCTATACTTATAACCAGTGACTCTGGCATAGTTGAATATGCTTTAATGATCACTTGCTTGTTTTAAAGGAATATACTTTTTCTACTACTTTCCAATTTTGTTTTATTTTGGTTTTCCATTTTGTTTTTATTTCAACATAATATAAACTCAAATGCAAATGTTCGTTAGTTTATATATATTTGAACCCCAGAAGTTAACTAATTATGCCTTTTTTAGTTGTCAACCTTATAACATGGGCCTGGCTTGTTATGTTTAGTGTGCGTTTTTACCCCCTTGGGGCAGAAGTGGGAGAAACAGGCATGGGGTTGCTAGCATGCCAGAAAGGGCTTTAGTTCTGATCTTCACCATACAGTAGCTCTCAACTTCAATTTCTTCATCAGTAAAACAGGAATAATATTATCTACTTAATGGGGTTTCTTGTGAGGATTAAGTGAGATTACATGTAAAATGACAAGCTCAGATTATGGCATAAAGCTGGTATTCAGTTAATGTTAACAAAGAATCTAGTGAGTAGATTTGTGGAAGGAAATGCCATTCTGAGTTAGAGACTATCATTGAGGGAAGTATTTTTTAATGTATTATTTGTAGATTTAGTAACATCTTGTCAAATTGAGGCCTATAGCCTTGGTGTAGTGAATAGAGATTAATTACTGTATTTGGTTGAAATGTGATAGGTATTGTTAGTTTTTTTGAAAAAATTTATTATTTTATGTAGTTAAACATATATGTATGTTGTTCAACAATCCCCAAATCTATACTAGTATATAGTTAGCTTAGTCCTGGTCCAGAATTTTACAAATCTGATTTGTGAGGGCATATTGTATATTTTAAAGAAACTAGAAAAAGAATATTTAAGAAACTTTATACAAAAATGCTTTATAACTACCATGAGCAACTTTTTTCTCTTGCATTATAGATAAAAATTTTAGCTATGAGAAACCTCAAAATTAAAAACTAACTCATGTGATGTTATTTTAGTAGCGATCTCCTTTCAGGAATAGTTCTCTTACCTTTGTTTATTTTGTCTCCTTCATTTTTCCAGGAGCTGACCAGTGCTTTGGTGCATTTAAAACTGCATCTTTTTATTCAGATCTTCACGCTTGCATTCTTCCCAGCTACAATATGGCTTTTTCTTCAGCTTTTATCAATCACACCCATCAATGAATGGCTTTTAAAAGGGTATGTTTAAATCTTTAAAAGTGAGTCCACTTTTAATGGGGCATCTCTAGAGATATTATTGTTTCTATGGCAACTATATACAAAAGGGCTTATGTGTACTATCTTATGTGTAAAAACACATCTTTGTTTTCCTTTAAAACAATAGTTTCATCAAGGCGGTTCATATTAACAGAATCTTAAGATACCCTCATGCTTCATCCTAAGGTTTTAGGATGGGTACTTTCTGGAGAATTTTAAAGAATGGTCTCAGAAGAAAAATGGAAGGGACTAGCAGATGTAAGATCTGTATGCGCGTCAATTGGATAGCAATGTAATTTGATAATGGCTGAGTATAATGTGTGTTTTAGAAATGTGTAAGAAAAAAAAATTCATATATGTGGGATAAACGTTTACATTTTATTCTGTTTTATGTTTAATATAATATAATAGTTATTAGAACTTAGAGCCTGAAGATTGAATTCTGACCATATCCTTAATATGCTATGTGTGACTTTGAACAAAGCTTTAAAATAGTTTTTAATGTCAGTTTCCCTCTCTAGAAAAGGAGGATAATCATAATTTTACTGCTTACCTACCAATGATGTTGGGGATATCAATTGAAATTACTTATTCACTGATTCAAATTATTTATATAGCTTCTACTTTGTTTCAGGAGTTATAAATATTGGAGAAACAACAGGGAAATGCCAGTTGGTTTTGCTTGTTGGGGAGTCTAAGGGGTGCCGTATCAATAAATAAGTAAGTAGATGAGGAAGATAGAGATAGATGATGTAAAAAGAGCAAAACAGTGAGGTATGTGAATGTGGTTGGGTGGGCAGGCTGCTGATTAATTTAGATTTCAGAGTTCAGGAGGCAGAATGTTCTAGAGAAAGAAAACAGAATGTACAAAGGCTGTAGGGCAGGATCAAGCCTGTTGTGTTTTTTAGTCAGTAAAGCAGCCAGGAAGGCCAGAGCCTGATGATATAGAGGAAAAATACCTTGTCTTAGCAGTAGAAAAGTAGGCAGGAGTGAGATATGTAGAGCTTTATAGGCCATGGTGTAGCATTCAGATTTTATTCTGAGTGCTACAGGAAGTTATTGGAGGGACTGAAATGAGGGAGTGATGTGGTCTGATTTATGTTTGCAAATGATTCTTCTGGTTGCTATGCGGAGAAGAGATAGTAGAGGGGCCTAGAGAAATTATCTGAGAGAGTAGTGGCAAGGTAGCAGTTCAATAGAGAGAAATTAATGTGCGCCAGATAGATTTTAAAGTTAGAGCTTTCAGCAGTGATGGGTGGGGAGGATGTAGAAGGAGGACAGAGGAACCAAGGGTGACTTCTGGGTTTTAGGTATGAACCACTGGGTAATTGGTAGCATCATTTACTTAAGGGGGGAAAACTAGGTAAGGAGGAATGATGGAAATCAAGAGTGCTGTTTTGGCCAGATTTAGTTTGAAAAATGAATATCAAATTTCACGAAGAAGTATATAATGCCACATAAATATGATAACATCATTTAGAGCAACAATGTATTATGCATATCAAGAACCAATGGTTACTGAATTATCTGCCATGTGTAGGGGACTCAAGGAATACAAATATATTTACTCATTTTTATTGTCTCCTGGGAACTTCCAACCTAGTTGATTATGTAGGATGGAGATATATATATATATATATATA